TTCTGTTTCCCCAGAAGCCCTGGGGAGGTGGGGAGTGGGCTAGGGAAGAGGACAGAGGACCAGACCCACAGACACCATGAGGGGAGAGGGGTTCCAGCTCTTTTAGACATGTGGGTTACATACATTTGGGGAAAGGCTTCATTTGGGAAAAAGCTTAGAGATTTGTGTTTGTGTGTTCTGACTTCAGGATCCACTCTGCAGTACAGGGCATGCTAGGCAGGTGCTCTACCACTGAGCTACACCACCAGCCCAGAACAGTTTTTAAAGTACTGCCAACTGTGTAAAATCAGTATTTTAAAACCTTAAGAGTGAAAACAGGAATGGCTGTTTCATTCATGTTGTCTCATAAAAGAAAAAGGAAAAAGGAAAAAGGAAGAAGTGAAAATTCTGTGTCTTGCTTTCTGGAGCAAAGGTCTCTCCAGACTACCCACAAAGACACTCAGACCACAGCCTGAACTCCCCACAGGACCATCGGGACACTCGGACAGACATTGCTGTGGAATCTTACATGTAATGCTAATACAGACACATGTAATTATACTCACAAGAAGGCCCGAAACATCCGAATACTTCTTAGCTGGCTTAAAAGATGGAGGAGCATCAATACTAAAGTCTAAAAAGATGAAAGAAAAGAAAAGAGATGACCACATAGCCTTCAAAATACCCTAACTCCTCCTTTATTCTATGTTCTCCCTTATTCTTTATTCTAAGCTAACATATGGTAATAGTGCTGAAATGTCCCTCTGTGATTACACACTTACAGAAGCCTCCTGGGATTAACCAGGGAAATAAGGGAGGTGTCTCAAAAATAGCACAGTATGTCACAGACTAAGTGCAGGCCTCAGCTAGGGTCCTGCCCTGCCATCAGAGACATGCTACCCCAGTGGAACTGCCAGGTTCATCTACCCGCAGGATATTTCACAGTCTGCAGCTAAAATGGGCTCCTGGGATGAAAGGCCATACAGCCACTAACTGGATCCACACACCCAGACTCAAGCAGGCCACACCCAGATGACTAACTTGTCACCATCTGAGTCACACCATGAAAGATGCACAGCAGGACAGGAGGGGAGATCCTGGAACCTGAAGTTTCCAGTGTAGTTGAGCACAACATCTAACAGGTTTTGTCCAGGTCTAGACACACTTCAGCAGGTGGTATTTTCTCAGAGAGTAAGTGTGTGGCCTGTTAGCTGCTTGCTGGAGACTCTCCCAAATCTTACATTACAGGTGGGCTACATTTTTTTTTTTTTTGTGGAAACAAACTTAAAGAGTAGAGTTTTAAATGAGAGGTCTAATAGAAACATCACCATTATCACAGTGGGACCTACTTCTCCAGACTGAAATTGCAAATAATGACACTAAAAACTAAACCCCCGTGACAACACAAACAAGCAGACTCAACACAGACTCTGTGAAAAGGGAATACATGCATAATATCCCTGGATGGGTGCCACTGTAGGCTCTCAGGCTAAGAACATTTTCCCGCAATAACACAAACACAAGCAAACAACGTAGGCTTGTTGTAAGGAAGTTCCTGTCTGCATTACAAATACAGGGAAGGCTCTAGACAGCTCACAGTTAGGATCATTCAGTTGCCATGGCAATGCCCTTTCAGCAGCGAGGATCTGTTTGAGGTTCTTCCAGGTTCTATTCTTCTTGCCAGCTACTGCACCACCGTGGCCAGAGTGCTCAAATTAAAAGTGGGTTAGAAGAGACGAGTCAGTGGAAGATGCGCCGAACCTGACACCATGCCCATTAGAGCCCTTAGGCACCTCAGTCTGTAAGCAACTATTTGTGCTGCTGAGACCTTTAAAGGAGCCTCACCATATACTTTAATCTTTGTTTAAAAGAACATAATCCGTAGCTATTCATGGTGGAAGCAGAATTGGGAGTTCAAGGCCGGTCTCAGTTACAGGATGAGTTTGAGGCTACAGGAGACTCTCAAAAAACAACAACCAAAAAACAAAAACAAAAACAAAAATGAACGAACAAACAGTAAAAATAAGCAAACAAAAAGAACTTAGTTTGGGGGCTATCTAAACCCACAAGGTTGCTGGTGACAGAACAGAAATAAATGGCTATTTTTCACCATGCATACAGGAAAGTGAATTCTTTACTGTGTTCACCCTGGTTGAATTCACTCATGACCTCCTCCCTTTAAAATCAGTTTACCACAAAGTTGGATGAGATCTTGAGATTACATTTCTAACTCCCCTATGAGGGTGTGTCTCTCTGCCTCCTAATCACTAGTGGTCCTGGAAAACCCAAATAAGCTTCAATCATGGTATGGCAAGCCTTCTGGAAATTTCTTTTTTTGTGATATAAAGATTAAAAAATGACTACTAACATATTTGAAGACCCCGGTTACAATGCATTGCCAAGACTCATTTTAAAAAAATTAACCTTTAAAGGTATAATTTGGGTCACTAAAACTGATTACTTAGTACAGCCTTCATGAATGAAAGGGATTTAAAGGAATTAATGGGGAGTACTCCTATTTTAGTTATTTATTTCTAACTTCTTTTAAAATTTAAGCCAACAGAAAGTGTAGGGGAACAATCATGGGAAAGCTCTGCCCTCTGGGGAATTTTGTTTGTTTGTTTTTGTTTTTGTTTTTTCAAGACAGGGTTTCTCTGTGGCTTTGGAGGCTGTCCTGAAACTAGCTCTTATAGACCAGGCTGGTCTCAAACTCACAGAGATCCACCTGCCTCTGCCTCCTGAGTGCTGGGATTAAAGGTGTGCACCACCACCAGGCTTCTCTGGGAAATTCTGAAAAGGCCTGACACACTGGGAGATCACAAAGGGCCTTTCCTGTCCTGTCCCATATCCCCCTTCACTTTCCTCCCAACTGACACCCCTCCCTCAACAGCCCATGGGAGGGGGTGGTAAATGGAATTGAGGGAGAAGGCAATTCCAGACCCATCTCCAGACCCAGCT